GTTTCCCACCTTCTTTGAGCTTGACGTTGCAGGTGTTGCAGGGACAGGTCAGTGCTCGCATTCAGCTTTTCCTAGCTGTTGATGACAAGGAAGGGTTTTGGGCAGTTCCTGGATGTGAAAAGCTTCAATGTCTACGCAGAAGACAGAACAAGGATGTGATGGGAGGCGGTCTGGACAGATGGGGAGCGGCAGCTAGCTCCTCCGTGAGCACATTGGTTAAGCATGACGTGTGTGGCGGCTCCAATGTTAGTGCCGGCAGCGCAGCTGCAGGTGTATCCTCCAGCTTGACGCCTTGTGTTGGTGACCGGATCATGGTCCTCAAGACGCATTGGCTACAATGCATTTTGAACGGCACTAAGACCATTGAGCTGCGCGGCAGACAGGCTCGCTTAGGCCGTGTCTGGCTAGCCGTAGGTAGCGAAGTGCATGGCGCCGCCACCATTGCGACCTGCGAGCGCCTGACGCTCACTGAGTTCCAAGCGCTTTATGAGCATCATGCGTTCCGTTCTGCTGACTTGCCGTATGCAACTACGTGGGCTTTACGGCTGGCAGATGTGCTAGCGCTTGAGCAGCCCATCCCGTACTACAAATTTCCCGGGGCTATCGGATGGAATATCTTTCGGCGCGGGCCAGATGACTTGCCGCCGCAGGCCACCAAGGCAAGGGTCTCGTCCTCCAGGCAGCGTGCCTCAAAGCGCCCTGCCACAAAATCCGAACAAGATGGTGAAGGTCTTGATGCGCAGGGTGGCAACAGAGAGCACGACAGGCAGCGGTTCCATCCAGGCGGAGTGGTCCTGACAAGACTTGCGTTCGACAGAAGCCTGGCGCTGTCGGGCTTGAGGTTGCCAGGACTTGACAAGCCCGACACACTTATCGACTTCGTCCCGGACATTGTCCAGATGGTCGTGCGGAGGCAACAGCGAAAAACTGGGACAGTTGCGCAGACTATCCCGGAACCTTGCAGCAATAGCAACAGCGTTGGAGATGTAGCAGGCGGTTGCTCGAGAAGTCTTGTCAGCTTGCCCCACGAAGTGCTGCGGATCATCCTGGCACAGACTTCAGATCCTTATGACCTGGCTGTCTTTACTTGCACCGCTTCTTTGGTCGACTTCCTTGCACTCAGCAAGTCCACGTGGAAGGATAAAGTTTTACATCTTGCCAGCGTTTCCAGCTTGTGTTGCCAGGGTGCGGGGTTCATGGCAAAGATTTCCGAGGCATGGGCCTACTCCACTATTGAGGCATCCTACCAGCAGCTGCGAGGGCTGCATCCGCTTCGGGAACGCCTGCTCTTCAGGTGGCCGATTCGCAGCTTTTGTTTGCGCAATGGTCCACACGGGGTGCTTTGGTCTGCTGTGCCACTTTTCGGCTTTGCCGATTGGGCTTGCCACTTCCAAGGTCGCGTGGGACGCATTCTGGTCGGTGTCAGTAGTGCCAAGAGCCCGGCCCACGTTGCAGGAGCACAGACCATTTGGTGCTCTCTTATTCACCCATTTACAAGTGACATGCGAATATTTTACTCAATGTCAGGGCAGTTGCAGTCGTTAGAGCCAGGGCTCTCAGGTCGTCCCCAGCTCGAGAACAATGCTCCTCATCGCATACAAGTGCAGTGGCGCTCTGCGTGGTTTCGAGTTGTGATTGATGGGCATCGCGCCCCATGGCTGCGAGTTCTTCACGGTAATGGCGTGCACTCGCACTCTTACGCATTTTTCTTTTACCTCGGGGTGCAATCTCCAGAGCAAGCGCAGGTCAGTCCATCAGCCAGTCGAGTGCTGTCGCGTTCACAGCCTGCGTGTCTCAGCTGCGAGCCCCGCACAGTGTTGGACTGGCACAATAGCCATTGTTGTCGATCATGCTCTGCTTGGCTTTGCAGGCAGCATCGAGGTATTTGCCCCCAATGCCGGGCTGGCTGCTTTTGCCAATCCTGCCTACCCACACATGATTGCCTGACGCAAGCAAACTTGGATGTGCTTGGGGGAGGTGATGCGTCAATGACGCAGGGTGGTCTGGGCCTTGAAGAAGTCAACAACTTTCACGGCTTCCTGGTTGCCCACTGCAATGGTGAGCGACGCTACCGGCCTTTCAGCTCAGACGGGCAGCCCTTGTCGCCAACTTTCATGAACGCATACAACTGCGCTGTTTGGTATTTGCTTGCTGCAGCACGGAGACTGTCGAAAGCCAGAGACCTACTACAATGCACAGATTGGCTGCCCCCGGACGTATCATCCCATGCGCTCCTTTACGTGGTCAGCTCACGACGGGGCCCACTGTTCTGGCTTCCATACTTCTTCTTTCACGGTGTTCTGACCCACATAGGCCGCAGTGATCAGTGCAAGCTCGTAGCTTGGAATTTGGACGAGTACCAGCTGTGCAGCGACGCTGGCGTGGATGGGTTGGACCTGCAAGATGTTCTTTGGAAGTGCGGAGTTCCCGCACCATACGAACATGATCTGACGTATCCCGGCGATGCCGTCAATGATTACCTTTGGCACTACGACATGATGCTTGTCCAGGCTGAGCCAGCGGAGCTGTTGCAGGACAGCCTTGTCTCGAGGCATAGTCAGGCAGTCATGTTGAGTAAATGATTGTCCAACATGTTATCCGTAAAGTGTTGAACAAGCAGCGCAACCGCCTGAGGATGGTCTATACATTGTGCACTACAAGAGTATCTTTACGCTTTGGCAGTGGGAAGGTGAGAAGGGTTATTGGTGGTGTTCCTTTGGCTGGATTCAGGTTCAGGAGGACCTTGCCGCTGCTATGACTGAACTCCTGCAATTTCAAGTCTTTGCTGTACTCAGGCCTTCTGACTTGGTCGTGCGCGAGCTACAACGCAGAAGTGCGAAGCAAAATTACGTTGGAGAGAAAATGCATGAGGACCGGCTCGGGGGTGCATCCAGCTCAAGAGAATCCTTGTTCTCAGCTTTGGATGCGACCTTATCAAACTCATTAACGAACGTGCGTGCGAACCCGCCGGCCTGGAATGACTCCATCCTCGAGAAATGCCGCAATATGAGAGCCAGGATCCAGGCAAAGTATCCGGATTGGTGCGACTTCCAGGTTCGCATAGCAAGCGCTGCAATTTTGATGTACAAAGTGCGGATGGTTGACATGTTTATTCGAGAGCTGGCTATCCTACTCTGGGTGATCGAGGGCGAGAGCCACATGCGAATCCACAATGGCTTCTGCTTCCTATATCATGAAGCTGGCTGTTATCAGGCATATTGCGGCATCCCGCCTGAGTCAACATTCGCTCGTATCAAATACTTCCTGCTTGTCCTTGAGGGTTTGTTCAGGAAGCTGCCGCCGCAAACGCGCAGGACGGATGAGCATGTCCTCAACGCTGCAGCGGCGCTCATGAACAATGCAGAAAGTCCTGAGGCTTTCTTTGACGAGTGCCAAGACGCCGCTCTACTTTCCAGCAATGGTAGCAGACGGCAGAGGCCAGCAGCCCAAGCTGCTCCAGACCACGACCATGCAGACAACGAGCCAGACAACTCCAACGGTTTGCCCTGGACAGTTTTTCTAGCTCAAGCGCTGTCCAAAATCGGTCTTCAGCTACAGTATGCGTTGCTGGAAGAGAAGAAGCTGCTTGCCTACCTAATTGAATGGTGCGAGACTCCGCTGGAGCGAGCGCCAGGGTGCTGCTACACAGACTGCTGCGTGCTTTACGATTGTTCGCCAGAAGGTCCAATTACGTTTGCCCAGCGCCGCCCAGAGAATAATATTTTCATTCGCGTGCCTCGAAGGCTTCTGGATCCAGTGGCCGATGCTGACAAGAGAAGACTTGAGCGATTCTTGGGCACTACCTTTTGGAACAACCAAAAGGTCTTCGATTGCTGCCAGGCGGCGCAAGCTCTAGCCAAGAGAGGCGAGAACATTGATCGCTGCTTCATTGGCGTCGGTCCTGGCGGTGTTGGTCAATCATTGTACAGCCTGCTACTTTCGAGCATGTACGCTCACAATCATGCCTTCATCGACCCGAACATTTGGTTCCAGGAGGATGAGCTGCGCAAGCAGATTGAGCAGTTCGCGCACTGTTTCATTTTGACCGGACAGGAAGCGCCTCAAGGCTTTAAGCGGGTACGGGAAGACCTGTACAAAAAAACCATCTCTGCAAATGGCGTCGCTGGCCGGAGGCCATATGGTGCCGTTACTAGGATGCTCTCGCTTATTGGATGGAAGCGCCTCGAGGTGAATCAAATGTTCCACTTTGCAGGAGTCACGGAGGAAAACTTCAATTCAATTCTGCGCAGGTCATTTGTGTGGTTCCCCTTAGCAAAGTTCGTCGATGACCAGCAAACACAGACGGACGAAGAGCACGGTGTATTCCGGGCCGACCCTTCTCTGCGTGAGTTCTTGGTTAGCGGGCCTGCCATTCTTCATGCGCTGCGGATTCAGCATGCGTTTGAAGCCACGCACAGCCGGGACACTTGCAGGGACGTCATCGAGCGCTATGTATTCAATGAAGATGCTGGCGCTACAGAAGAGGTTATGCGGACTGCCTGCGGGTTGCAGAAGACTATGGAAAGCGCTGCCAACGCCCAGGGCTCAACCGAAGACCAATCTGACCTTGCAGGGCTAATGCGAAACTTGCGCGAGGAGCTTCTGGCCAAGCCAACCTCGTACGTCTCTATGAACGCATTCAAACGACTGAGGTGTGTCAGCTCGGTGCCGCACAAGGACTCTGTGTGGAAGCAAATGTTAGAGACGAACGCGATAATGGATTGCGGAGCAGTTGGCTGGCAGTATAGAGACTGCTACTACCCTACAGTGAACACAGCAGTGTCTTTGCAAGAGGTCTGCCGCGCAGGCGACCTGTCTTGCCCACCTCGGCTTCCAGAAGAGTGGCACACTGAAAGCCTGCTCTCATTGAGCCGCTTGGCCAGCTCGTCTTAGATTTTTTATTGGTTCAGTGTCACGGGATGCCAACCATAATGTTCCAGGTTTGGGCACCACCAGCCTCAGGACGTGATTCCAAAACCCAGAGCCCCAACACCGAGACGATGCTTCAGTTCTACAAAGCCGCTTTGAAACGATGCAAAGCAGGCACGCCCACTTTGGTCGAGAAGTTGCAGCGCGATCGGCTTGCCTGTCAGTTGCAAAAGCTTGAAGACTCCGAGAAGTTTTGCCGATGGCTAGCGAAGACTCCGTCCACCAAGCGGATGACCCAGGGTGGCAGTCCTGGACGCAAGCAACGGAGGGTTGGTGATGATGGCAGAGGTTCTGAGCGGGCAGTTGCAGATGCAGAGACGCAGCAAGAGATCGAGAATGCGGAGGCGCCCCACACTTGGCAATTCAGCGTGTCCTACAAAAACACGCTTGGAGAGCTGCTGCGAACACGGAAGCAAGCTTGCACGGAGTCTTCGCAGAGATGCACCCGGCGACAACTCAAAGCATTACTTCCTGACTGCGTCGACTTCGACATTTCTAATTGCTGCTTTTCAGTGTTGGCGCAACTTGTTGACCTGCTCAAGCCGCTGGAGCCAGTTCCTAAAGTGGTCGCAGATACCCTTCGCATGCTCTCAACTGACCGAGAAGGCGTGTGCGTTGACGAGCTGCATGTCAGCCCTGCGGAGGGCAAGCAGCTGCTACTTGAGACCTTCAACGGGGCTGCTATTCATCCAAACTATGCAAACAACGCTTTTCTCAGAGATGTGCAGCGAGCGTCATTCTACTGCAGATGGCTTGCGTGCACAGTCCTACCGGAAGTTCATCAGAAATGCATTCAGGACCCTGCAAGAAAGCAAGCTGATGTATCGACCTTGTTCTTCTTGTGGTCTGCTGCGGAGGATTTCATTCTACAGGCATGGGTTGAGTTACTGCTACAGCAAGGCCCGCGGCATCTGTCCTTGCATTACGATGGCGTGAGAGTGAATCGTGAATGTGTGGGCGATATCGCAGAGTTCATCACAGCCAGCCACAGCTGGATCAAGAGCAAAACTGGCTTCACTGTGCAGATTGTTGAAAAGAAGCACGAGTACTTTGTGGATTTGCTCATCCAGTCCGCCTCAAGCCGCAGGGAGGCGCCAGTTGCTGCAAGTCTGCTGCTTGAGAATGGCAACTGTGTTCCGTGCGCCTTGAGCCGTGTTCTTCCAGAAGACAAAGTCGCGCAGCTGATTTCCCACCTTTCCGCCTTGCAGGCGCAAAGCACACACTGGAAGTATCGCGACCTCGCGCGCAGTCTGGAAGTGAAGCTTTGCCCTTTTCTCTGCGGAGAAACTCTGCTCCCTGGGAAGTACCTTATTCATTCTGACGGGAAGGAAGCTCACTGCGTCGCTGCTGTCGTTCATGCCAACAGTCAGGACATCACGGCGTGGGACGGAACATCAGAGCTGTCGATGTCGCTGAGAACTTTCAGAAACTGTATCGCTGGCTGCGTTGACGAGAACTCCATTGTTGGCTTTGCCGTGGAGCCTGGAGAGCGCAAGGAGCGGTCAGATTTGCCATCTTTAGCTTCTTCTTTAGACACTCTTCTGGAACTGCGGGCTGGGGCAAAGGGATCGGAATATCCGAGGCCAGATGACGACCAATCCTCTGCCGATGCTTCGGCCTGTGGTGAGGAAGAGGACGAGTCCGTGGTGTCACCTGGGCAAGCCCTTCTTGCCAAGCTGAAGGCGGAGGTACAGGTCACCTTGGAAGAAAAATTGTTTCCGAAAGTCGACGAAAAATATCGCTGCCCATTGTGTCCTTTTCGGGCCTTTGCAAAACTGACTAGAGTTTCGCAGCACATTGCCAAGTACCACACGGTGAAGGTGCAGTTCTGCCCTAGCGGCACGAAGCAAGTCAAGTTATTGTTGGCGCTATATGACGAAGATTGCATGCGTGGGAAGGATGGCCAAAACTATCTCCAGCGCAGTTCTGACACTCTGCGGCAAACTGTTGCGCCGTCCCTTCTGTCATCCCGAACAGATATTGACAAATTCATTCGCATCGTCTTCACGGCGGCCGGCCCTGTCTATCGAAACTTGGACGCCTTGACCGACGGTGAGCCTTTGCGCCGTGTCAGGAATATTTACTACACACGCTGCTTCGCGCACTTGGTCGTTCGTGAGATGCTCTTGTGCAACGCAAAGGCAACCTGGCTAAAGTACTCGCGCTAGGTGTTGCGTGCAATCATCAAGAGAGGTTCCACACTACTGAAAAACGGCGCGTTTGCGTAAACAGCTTTTGCTCTAAGGTCAGAGCCATGATTCCACGAGTTACGCAGGAAGCGGTCGCCAGGAATTGTCTGACCACTAGCCTGCTTCCTTCCAACGTGAAGGACTGGTGGCCGATCGTGGAAGATATCTTCACTTCCCCTAGGCTGAGCGATCGCAAAGATTCCTTGCTGCAAGAAGCAGTGCAACATGAAGAGTTCGTGGCGATCTCAATCGATGCCACAATGCGATGCTGTCTCTCAATTCTGGGCCAATGCCACCCACGTGCGCCGCAGGCGGACCGTTTACAGGCAGCCTTCGACGACGCTGCTGCTAAGCGAAAAGCACCTTGCTTCATTAAAGACATCCTTTTCCTCTCTCTTTTATTCTACTCTTGCTTTTCCTTTCAGTCATTGTTACAACTTGGCCTCTATCGGTTTCAGCTTATAAACTGATTTTACTATGGTGCCAGCACAGGTTTTGACTGTCCGCGGCAGAACCAATGCAGTTCTACTGCTTCACGCCGTGCCCAGCGAAGCTGCTGAGGTTATTGTCACTGCGCTGGCAGAGCTGCCAGCCCATGCTCTGGCGCAAATTCAGTTCATTGCGAGCGACAGCCCTTCAAGTGCACTGGCCCGGCAGCTGCGACGAGTCTGCCCCAACCTTGTGATGCTCAGCCTAGATCCCGTGCACTTGGCCTTTGCATGGGAGTACTCAACTTGGAAAAAACGCACACCTGGCAGCAAAGCGCTCCGAGCAGTCCTCAGCAAGCTCAGTGTGCGGGATCCACAGGCAACAGCTGAGCATTGGGGCTGCGTGTATGAAGGTACGGCGCCACCCGAGCTGACACCCAGAGAGCAGGCTCAACGTGACCGCATCAAGGACGGCGGCATGCCACTGCGGGCAGCCAAGCAAACCCTTCACACTATGGATTACAGTGTGCCTTTTTATGACAGGATGGAAATTGTCAAGGCATTCGCAGCTCTTTCGGCACTCTATCCAGAGGAGGTGGCAAAGGTGTCTCCGGGACCGAATAGGAAAGTTTGCGAACTCTTGTGGACCGCGACATCTCCAGACCGTCTCGAGTGGTACATGAACAACATTCGGTCCAGGCATTACATGGCTTTTGCTCACCATTCTCTGCTTCACGTGGGAACAACAAGCAATGAATCGCTCCACCGAGAGATAAACTGCTGGTTCAACCAGACACAGCAGATGCATCAGGCTGTTCTGGATCTCAAGCTGCTTGTGCTTCAGTATGGCAAGCTTCTATCTCACAACGCGGCAATGTATCATCCCACTTCTTCCCAGCTCAACCAGGCCACGGTGCTCGCACGGGTTGCTAGCCTTGAGATGTGGACCTTAAGGCAATGGCAAAGCTGGTGCTCGATGAACATGGACGTCAATGGGATTGGGAAGGCAAGTCTCCCAATCAATCTGATGCGGCAAGAGCAACAAAGACAAGTACGAGCTGCTCGTAAGAGACCGGCAAGCTCATCGCCAAACTCGCAGACTCACCGTGCAAAAAGACGATCACCTTTCACGCTGCAAAGAAAAGACGGGGTGCGGCGAGGAGGTGTGCGCGATGCGTCTCTGCCAAAGAACGCGCGTCCTCCGGTTCGAAAGCGACCGGCAAGCTTACTCCCATGATGGCTATTGATGCAGGCTGTAGGCAAAATGCCGGTCAGCTCATTCTGTCATTGACCAATTACAAGAGGTTCAGATTGCGGCCGGCAAAAAAAAGTCAGCGTTGCCAGCATCCTTGACGAAGCATCAGAGGCTACGAATGGAGGGGGCGTCTCGCAAATATAGAAATATACTAAGGAGCTCGCTTCTTTCCCCGTAATTCCATTTTCTTTCCTCTCTTTCCTTCCTTCCTTCCCTCCTTTCTTTCTTTCGTTCTTTCTTTCTGCTTTCTTTCTCTCTGTCTCTCTCTCTCTCTTCCTATTTATCTTTCTCTGTTTTTCTTTTTCATTCTTTCTTACTTTGTTTCTTTTCTTCTCACAGCTTCTCCCATCTTACAAGCTGCCAGTCGGCGAAGCCCAAGCATAACAGCTTTGACTAAGAGCGTGGAGTGAGATGCAGTAAGAGCCGGGCTCCTGGCCTAGTATGATGTTGAAGCATTTGCAAGGTTTGCCACGCTGACATATTTGGCTCAAGGAGAAAAAGGGCACTGATAGCATCATGTAGCCATATGCTAACTGTGGCGCACCTGCGCTCACAGACAGCCCGCCTCTTTTGTCCGTTTGTTTTCGCTTTCTGCGCAAGGCCGGCGCCACCAGCAGCTTTGCTTAAGAGCGTAGAGTGAGATGCAGCAGGAGCCGAGGCTACTGGCCTAGGATGATGCTCAAGCATTTGCAAGGTTAGTCGTGTTGAGGTGTTTAGCTCAAGGAGAAAAGGCGCTGAAAAGAGATGCTACTTGTGGCACACTTGTACTCACACGCAATGCACTTCTTTTGTGTCGGCGGTTGTGTCAACTTTCTGCACAAGGTTCAGCAGCAGCGATGCTAGTAGTAGCAAGCTTTTATTAAGAACAAAGATATATCAAACATGTGGTTCCCCAGCAGAAGAAGGAAAAAAAGATGTTACTAAACAAATATGAGCCATTGAGTTTATGTGGACGGCCCGTCAGAAAATGTTAGAAGTAATGAACAGGTTAGAAATACCAACGGGAGGGAATTATAAATGCTTTTGTGTGCTAATAGTGCTAAAACAAGCAAGAAGGGTACGAACATGACATGGAATCGTCCAAAGTCGCAAAGTCGGAGATATTACTCGATGTGCTTAATGTTGCCTTATGTTTTGGCCGCAGCGTCGCGCCATCAGATGATCGACGTACTGAAGGATGAGAAACCATAAGAACATTAGGCGTGATTTGAAATATAGCAACAAATTCTGTAGGTATTTATATATAATAGACGTCGGAAGGTGAAAACATATTGTTGTGGATTGATTGAACAAATTGTAGATATTAGTAAGAGTGCAAATATATTGAATGAACATATTAATGCACAGTTAAGTTAGCCAACAAGCAGCAACGACGACGAGAAAAACATATTGATGACATGTTTGAAAAGAAAGGATTAGGCAGATTAGTAGGCGGTCATAAAAAGAAGCACGCAAGTTTCGTGTAATCAGAGTTACTGAAAACTGAATAACCTAAGCCCGAAACTCTTGCACACTACAAAATAGTTATGGACGAATTGTAAATATATACATATACATATATATATATAACTTAATAGTTAGAATTAACATAATGCCAACAGTATGAATTGTTTGGAACTTTGCTTTTGAACTACGCTGATTTTAATGAAGATAATTTGAACTGCAGTTGTAAAAGATCTGACAGGACTTAGTTTAACTCTTTTTAGAATTCTCGATGTTGCGCAGTATACAGCTTCACAAAACAGTAGGAATACAGTTTTTTGCCTGATAGCATTGCATGAATGACAGTAAGTGCAGCATCCAAAGCTGTCAAAATACGAGTGCAGCGCAAGCCTGATTGGTCTAATGCTGATAAGACATGCACCTACACGCGCGCGCGTACGAACACACAACACGTTTTTTGGGTGGGCGGGTTTGTAAGCTTTCTGCACGAGGTCGCTCAGGCATTATCAAAAGCACGATCATAAGAAGGAAGAGCAGCAAGGACAAATGTTACTAAAAGGTCCCTGCCACATATATATATATATATATATGTGGTAGCACCCACCACCCCCTTCCCCCAATGCCAAGGTTTGCCTGCAGAATACTTGCATGTGTCATGAGATGTTCATCCTAAAGCAGCACTTATTTGGGGACAACCTGGAATTGATGTGGGGTGATCTGAAGATAGTAAGACGTGATGAGTACTCGATTGAAGAACACCTGGAGCCGAAATTGGGCAGTGTAAAAACAAGCTATGGACATAAACATCACACACACACGCACACACTGCCACTCATCCTGACCAGAAGTTAGTTGATAAGCATTATGTTGCAGTTTGTAAACTTTCTGTACTGTGAAAACCAGGCCTCTGGCGCTTGTTTTGTTTGGGGGAGGGTGCAGGAATTCTGGAAGACATATATAGATACGGAGAACAGTTCCTGCCCCACCCTCCATCAAACCAGACCTTTGGGGTTTAGAATTGACTGGCAACAATCTTCGGTTGACTGCGGTTTTAACTGACAATGTGAAAGGAAACATCTACTTTACAGGCACATTGAAAGACAACGTCTACCACTCCTCTGGAAGCAACACTTTGACTTTGACTGTCTGCAAACCATAAACCAGATGCCACGAAGAAACAGACAAGCCCAAATTCACAAATCTCCAAGAAAGCTACCATTCATAGGTGTCCTTTTGGGGCAAATAGATGGGTTTCCCTGGTAGATGATTACCAGGCAAACCAGGAATCGCCCTCTATTTTTCGACCAAAACCACCCATTTACGGACACCGATGCCATGTTTCCCACCCCTTTTCAGGGCTCAAATCCCGGCTTCCAGCCCCCCCTCTCGCCCTCTCGCCCGTCCGCGAACCAAAGGGCCAGAAGCTCCGGCACCAGCTTCAGGGAGTTCAAGGCCACCCCGTCGTAGAAGCGGCGAATGCCGCCTGGAGACGCGGGGCGAGCTGGTGTCGTCTTATGGGAACGTGTGATACGGATGAACCAGATCCGCTTAGGAGGTTGGGCGTTCATTCGCCATAAGAGAAAATAAGAAGGAACATGACACAACAGGATTGAACCAAGTGGGTTTGTCTTTTTCTGAGGCTACCCTCTGATTCAGTGGTAAAGGGAAACCAAAAGGAAAACCAGCAGTTTGGGGGTTTGCTAACAGAAAGACTCACCCGAATCCACTTAGGAGGTTGGTCGTTGATTCGCCATACCAAAAAAAGAAGGAACATGACACAATAGGATTGTTGAGCTATGCCGAAATGAGGCTGTTCGATTTGACAATCTAGACATGTCTGACCAGAAATAGCTTCTAACAAATGGATTCTGGGATGCTACAAACATGTTTGTCCACTGGTGCAAGCTGGAACCCGTGTATTAGGATCCGTTCGATAGAACCTGTTTACTAGAACCCGGTTAGGGTCTCTTGATAGAAATGCCAAGCATCTCATGTTTTGAAAGGTGCCCAAACAGAAAGTGTTCGGCCCTTAGGCGCTTCACATAATATTCCACATATGCCCCATAGGCAGGAAAACTGCTCTGCAGATTAGCATGGAACCTGAAAGAGGATCCCTTGTTGGATTCGGTGCTAATTTGCAGGGGACTATGTCTCAAACCTGCAGACCTCTTTTGTGGGTTGTTCAAGGGAAACCAAAAGGATGCCAGTCATCTCCAATCCAGTTTTGAGAAACAAACTCAAATTTGGCTATGAAGTTGTTTTCTCGGAGACATTTTGGTGGGTATCAGTGATACCGTGAATTCGATCCAACCAACTTTGAGGTGCTCCCAAAAGCGCATCCACCCTGAGCCACCCGGGAGTCGGGAGAGAGAGTCTGAGTCACGCCTGCAGCATACATCGATTTGGCACCTCGGAATGTCAAAATTTCTTGGCGCTCCCATGGATCACTAAAGGTGCCTGCCTGGGGCCCCCAAATAACCATGGGTAACGTTTCCCATGTGGTGAAAGTCATCTTTTTAGGTCTCCCGAATGGTCACCCCATGTAAAGGACCTTGTGATCAACCCCCCCAAAAGGGGGGAGGATTGTGCAATCTACTTTCCCTCAGCCTGGGTGCAGGATATAAGTCTCTGAGACACTTCGGGTTCCGTCCCCTCAGTTCCAGGTTGACGTTTGACAGCTAGTCCCCCATATGTCCCGATCCTGTCGGCTGATTGCACGGGTCAGAAGGGAGCTCCCAGTTTGTTCATTATGTGATTCAACCGTACCATGACAACAACTGCCCCTCTTCATGTACGCAAATCTGATTTCACAGGCAGGCTAGGCATAAATAATAAAGAGATGTCGTAAAACGTCGAGCTCATGCCAACTATAGTCAAAACCTGCTATGAAGGAAGTGCCCAAATCATGGTAAATAAAACGGGCGGCTCTTGATATTATCTGCACCGATTTCTGAAGAAACGTCCCCATTTCAAACCTTCATCTCGAAGCGGCGTTTAGTTGAGTGAGTGGCTCAAGTGAGACTGCTTGGAAGTGCCAGGTCATACAGTGCCTGCCCCTTTTGTGTGCTGGTGATACCAAAAAAACACTTTGCCACCAAAAAAAACAGTAGCAGGGACCAACGTTGGTACCAAACCCTTGGACCATACTCCCGGGTACACCCTCAAAAGATCTCAAAAAGGAGTATGGGCCAAGTGGCTAGGTAAGCCTTAGACGGGGAAAGCCTCACTTCCGTAAACCTGAGACCCACGCAGTCTGTAAGGGATGCAGAATCTTTCAGCGTCGGACCTGGCCATTGACTCACGCTGAAGCAAACTCCTTGTGGCCTCTCCTTCAGCACCAAAGGAAAGCCACCCCCGTTTTCGGGGGAGGAACCCCTCGAAAAAGGACGAGGGAGCCACCAAAATATCGCATGTCCTGTTAAAAAGGCGGGCACGGCCCAAAAAGCCTCCATGCACAGGACCACACACGCAAATGCCACGGTGGCATCGTCAAAACTCATAATGTGGGATCTTGAGTCCCCTGGTTTGTGTGGGAAATGTAGAGCTCGTCCCTGCCAGATGCACCACAGACTGGTGACCCAATCTGTGGATGGTTTGACAAACATCACAAGGAACAATGAAGAAAACACACGCACACACCGTGTCATCATGTGCTGTCTTCGGCGCCTGCGCTCACGAACTGCCACCTGCGCAAACTGCCAGCATGTGGCCGTATTTCGGGGCATGTTGCAAATTCACGGCATGGGAACCCAAACGGCCCTGGTTTTTCCACGCATTTCCATGTTCTTGCTTACTTCGGGGTTCCAACTCATTCTCTGCCTATCCAACCAGCAAGGTGGTCATTCAACCCGCAAGAATCAAAGCAAACCTCAGAACCCAGGGGTGCTCGAGTTCCCCAAACGGAGCAACCCGTGGGCTTAAGATGGCTAAAGGGGCACGAGCCTCCTCCGGAGGGTATCCAGGGGGTACGTAACCTCGGACGGACACTTGGCTCCAGTTGGACCACAAGTGGTGAATCTTTCAGTGGCTGGATTCTTTGGACATCCATTTTCGTAGGGGCCTATGTCCATCGAGCACTATTGAGGGTAGTCCCAAATACACTCTCCCCTCATGCCTCTCCCAGCGAGGCCGGGGCTGTCTGAGCAACAAAGCCCGAAGCAGCGCCAACCACCAAGTTCCTGTCAAACGCTCTCTGGTCAACGCCTTGCAAGTTGAAGGAAAGTCCTATGGATCATGCGCTTCCCTTGAGCCTTGAAAGGAACCTAAAGTCCATAGGGGCTCCATGACCATCCCGACCACCCCAAGTAATTAACGGGGTCCTTTGGTGGCAAATAAAGGTAGATGGCAATGGGCGTTCCCTTTTGGGAAGTCCACCGCCCGGTTGACTCGTCTGGGGTTCATCCTTCAACCCTGCATCTCAACCAGGCCAGTTGCGCCAGGGATACAAATGAGCTGGCGCAGCATTCCGCACGAGCCAGAATAGGTCCTGTAAAGCCAACTGAGAATCACGCTGTCCGGAAGGCGAACGAAATATCCAGTTTTGGATTTGACTTTGCTTTGGGGGGGGGGTACTCTTTTGAGGGCTGTTTCAAGGAAACCAGAAGGACACCAATAACGTTCGGGTGTTTGCTTATCTTAACACAAACTCATTGCGTTGAGTATGTGTCGAACCCCCCAATGCTGGGGTTCTCTGTTGCTTTCCCTTCAAACCAACTTAAAAAAGAGTGCCCTCAAGCATACACACCCAAGTGGCTATCATTTTGTAGTACGGCACCCCCTAAAAAAGGTTGGTGGACAAAAAAGTACAACATAGGAATCAAAGCCACCAAAGAGCGGCCACTTTGAATCCACACTGAATGGGACAAGGTGTACAACCCTAGCCTTCCCATTTAGACCTCACCCCACCAGAAGGAAACACAACAAAAACAAAAGGCAACCAGAACTTGCTTCTAAGGGTAGAGCCTTTGCTTTTTTTATGTCATAGGAGGTGATGTCATGGTTTGGGGAAAGGCGATAACTTTTAGTCAACCGAGGCGGGCTGTCGGTCCCCCGGCTGCAAAGACTTGTGGTCCACCGTGGGGCGGTGGCCCATCTGCTTCAGCAGCCACGGGGCCAGCAGGTCGTGCAAGCCCGTGGCAAGGCAGATGTACGGGAGCGCCGTGAAAAGGCACCTGAGGCTCATGGGTGTGGCTCAAAATTGGGGACCCTCCACTCTTTTTGGTTTCCCTCAAAAACCATCCAAAAAGAGGTCCCCTATTTTGAGAACCCCCCATGTAGCTCGTCAACATAGGGATTTCAACATAGGGATTTTGGGAACGAATGGTGGTTGTCCTTTTGGCTTAAAGTCTAAAACGGCTACACTCAAAAAACACACACACACACACACCCCACCAAGGGAAACCAACAAGAATCTGAAAAAGGGTTCGCTTGGGGGCTTTTGGGTTGCGGGCCAAACGGATCCGACAATTGCTGCTCAAAATTGGGAAAGTGGTTGCGGGGACCCACAAGGGCGAAAGGGCAAAACAGGGGTCCTCATATGGTTTTAGCACCACCAAGAAGGGAAACAAATTGCATATATTTCCCGATATTTCCCCTCGAAACATCACTTAACAAGCACCACGAAGGGAAAAATCACCAAGTCTGCCAATGGCACAAAGGCAAGCCTCGGTAAAGGCTCAAGATGCCCCGGGTCCTCTGAGTCTCTCGCAAGAAATGCCAGGCTCCGCGGAACTGCTGCTGTCGGCCAGTGTCTGCAGCTAGGTTAGTATAGGCAACATCCAGCGGATACCTTTCCAAGCAACCAACCAACCAACCAATCAATTAACCAACCAACCAACCAACCAACCAACCAACCAACCAACCAACCAACCAACCAACCAAAATGCTCTTTGCGATCCACTCAAGGGAACCCAAAACTAATGCCAAGAGCAGAGGTACACCAGCATCAGTGCACCTGCACCTGAGACGTAGAGGAAGGAACATCTACGCAGATAGCCTTCGAAGCCCTGGTAGTGGCCTGGCCGAAGCCCATAAAACCCAGGGCGCACGTGTGGGCTGGTGTGTTGCTGGGGGAATAGGCTTCGAAAAGGGGAGAAAAGTTAACAGGCACCAAAGAGCAACCGGCAACCAACAAGGCATTCTAACAGAGCAAAAAAAGTAGCAAAGAGCAACCCAAAAAAATCAATCATGAGAGCAAACTGGTACCAAAGAGCAACATGGCTGTGGCGGCTGTGGCTCAGAAAATGGTACCCAAAATGGCCGCTTGGTAAATGGAAACGAGGACCAAAACCTGCGTAACCCTGACTCTTGAATTTTGAGCCACAGCCACAGACCGGTACCAAAGAGCAACCAAGTGTCGGTTGCCCCCTGGCATGACCCACATCTGCGTGGTCTTCAGCGCGCTCAGCCGGGCAATACCCCCAAGGATGCTGGCCGTGCAGTGCGTGAAGGCGCCACGCCAGAGCCCGCGATAGCCCTGGCTAGAGATGACGTCCTGTCCAGTGGCCTTTGAGTCTTGGCTCAGCTTGTGATGGTCCAACATGGGAAACCAAATGGTCAAAAGTTCAAGGCCGGTTTTGGACAAGTGAGCATACTTGAGCATACTGGGCCCATTCAAGTGATACCTGCAAAGCTACCTGGTTTGAAGGATTTGCTCATTATTTAGAAGTCCTTTCTGGGTGCTATGGTAAATAAAGAAACTAACACTTTGCTCTAGTTCGCACCCAGTTATTTGGTTTGCTTTGGCATACCAAGAAGAGTCCGACACTTCGAATTGCCCTCGTCTATGTTTCAATCTTTGAGGGTGCCCGCCTTTTAGGTTGCTTGAAGGGAAACCTAAGGGACGCACACATTTGGGCCGTCCGTTGGAGACACACTACTTTTAGGTGGCCCAAACTTTTTCTACGCAGGCCCTCACATTTTTCGGCCGAGCCCCCTTTGGGGTGCCTTGTTGAAAGGCAAACCGCCGGGAAAGCACGAGTACAAGACAAAAGGAAACCACCCATGAAACCAAAAACAGTGAAACCACCCAGCAGGAACCAGCCAGGAAACCACCCATGAAACCATCCAGCGAAACCACCGGGACTTCAGCTGGAAAACACACTTTAAAAAGGGATCCTTGCATTATACACCTGAACATTGCCTTGTAAATTGTGCTTTCCCTTCATTTTGGTGGAAAAAGCCATGTTTCAAATGGGCAAAATGTATCTTTTAAGGACTCTCCTGGAAGCAAGCCATGAGCCCACTTCCAGCCCTTGGCTCCGCAGCGCGGAGTCCCACCTCGCGCACGAGTCCCTTTCTGGGTATCCCTGCACCGGTTGTCTAAAGTTGAGCAACGGGGTCCATGCAGAAACCGAAAGCAACATTTATGCTGTAGGAGTCATATGGTGTGGAGCGCAAAAAAACTTTATCCTACTCATTGAGATGAAAGCTGACTGGAAGGAAGCCTTGGAAGACCATTTTCATGGGACCTTCAGTCAGACTGCATGTCCTCTAGCAGCCCAGCCCTGTTGTAAGCACATACCTGTCCCGGTGATTTCTGTGAATATGGTTTGTCCTTTATCAGTCCCGCGTCTTAAGTGGAGCATCAATCCACAAATGTTGGCCGAACCTCATAAGAATGCTTAAAACAAAACAGCAGCAGCACCAACAGCAACACCGAAACCACACCGGCTGCACCACAACCAGCACCAGCAACAACAACAACAACAACAACAACAACAACAACAACAACAACAACAACAACAACAACAACAACAACAACAACAACAACAACGACGAAACAACAGCCACTCCGACGACGGCGATGACGTTTTATTTGCTATTATTATTATTATTATTATTATTATTATTAATGTGTTTTTTTTTGTTTGGGGGGGGGGGGCGGATTATTATTGGGATCCCTGTCTGTACTGTATCTCGGTGTTGGCTCTGCATCCTAGCCGCTAACATGCATTGTCAATCTCCAACAAATACAATGCAGAGCCAACCTGAGGATTCTGTTTCGTGAGACTTGATAAAATGCAACGTCCCAACCTCCACAAGACAAATGCTGAAGGTCAATCGCTGCATTTTAGAACAGCAATTTAGTCGATAAAATGCCAAGTACCAACTTCAAGGCTAGAAAAATCAGAATGCAGAATCCGTATATCCCGCATTGGAATCGCTGCGTAGGCCAGAACAAGCGCAATGCACAAGCACTTCTTGTTGAGTTGACACCAACCAGTCAAACCGTGCTGGCAATTGTTGCGGGGCCGATCGGGATTTCTACAGTTTGGCTAGAATGTACCCTGGCTAAAATGCGGAGTGAAACACGCACACACACACACAACCAGGTTTGATGCACTTCCAAGCTTAAAGCTTCGTCATCCTGCTAAGCTACGTGAGCAACAACAAAAACCTTTCTAAAATGCACGAGCCAAGAACAAATCAAAGAACACAAATCTAGAAAAGCTACACTTCTCCTACTACTCCTCCTACTTCTACTACTACTACTACTACTACTACTACTACTACTACTACTAGTACTACTACGACTACGACTACTACTACCACCACCACTACCTACTATTATTGGTTCCTCTTTCTGTTGCTTGTTTCTGCAAAGCCGTGTGGATCACGCGAGGACTGAATTTCCAACTTCGTTTTGTGCGGCAGGCGTGGGACGGCCAATTACCACCCTGGTTGACATGTAAATTACGTTGAAGGCATCGGTGGAAGTTAGAGCGCTGCAAATGACCCAGCAACAGCTTGCAGGATTTTTGCTGGCAAGGATTGCGTTCGATAAAGAAGACCCAAGAGGCGAACATTTGTCTTGCCGTGGAAATGCTAGGACTATTATGCTTATATGCTTTTTGTTAGTCGTAGCAGTAGGTGTCGTAGTAGTAGCAATTCCTTTAGCCCAGCATTCTCCCTGTGGATTCCCTCAAGTGGCACCACATGTCGCCTGCCTGGCGGCAAACCTTGATGCGCTCCAATGGTGCCGAGGCCAACTTGGACAACACCCGGGCGTAGCCATGGGCTAAAAGCACTCCGAAGAAGAGGCGCCGGTCAGCGTCAGCGGCGGCGGTGGCTCCATCATCTGACATCAAGCTAGGTGTAGGTGTTCTACTCCCCGAGTATCTTGGAACCCGCCAAAAAAGGCCCCTTTTTCAGGTCCAAACTGGTCCAGTGGAGATTCAGACCCCTCCAATAAAGGTCCAATGATGCTTCGGGTTGGGTTGGTCAACTGACACCGGGAGAAAAGAGATCACTTGTTGGCCCGTGGCGGGAAATCATTTGGCAGCAAAGGCAAAGCTGAGTTCCAAAGAGAAACCAAGTCGAATTTGCTTGCCAAGATAGACACATAATCACAAGGCCCGTCCATTTTGAAGCTGTCACAGCGGCTGCAAAGATGGCAAAGGAGCTTGCACCATGTTCTCGTGTCAAGCGGGTCAAACTCACGGCCGAGAGTGGTTCAACCTCTAGCTATCAATCTCTCTCTCTCTCTCTCTCTATATATATATATATATTGAATTCACTGTGAACCCCCTGAATCTTTGCTGAGAAGAATCAGGCTCAGAGTTGGAATGCCTCACCTCAATCTGCCCAAAGCGCAGGTCGAGCAAACCTCAAAATGGGTGCTGAATACTGGGCCAGCGGCCACGTTGAATGCTCAACTGGGAGGGAAACCAGGCAGATGCATCATACCATCATACAGTTGGATGAAAACAAATGGCACGATCTCCTCATCTCCAGTGATTCCATTTATATAACAAGCTTAGCAAGGGGGCTACCACCCTTTCAACTGAAAGGCTTACAGTCGACGATCTGCGCAACGCCTATCCACCTGACAGGTCTGACAGAGGGCACTTGGCTGCAAGGAAGGACCCTCAGCTGGAGGACCCTTCTCCACGTCCCAGCCCGACGGGATGTCCACAGACACCACCTGGCATCTCGCCGCTCTGCCCCCCATGGCTTGGTTCACACAAAAACCCACAGCTCCGTTCGTTTGGGTCCGAGAAAGCTCTTCCAATACACCATTTGGTAAACATGAGACTGCTTTCATCTTCGACAAGTGTCTTTCTTCATGTTGCAAGTTGGAAGGGTACCTCTTGAGATCTCTTGGGCCCGGGGGACTCTTCAACTGATCTGGGTCTGTCGTCTGAGGCTGTAGCCGGCAAGCCTGCACCGGAGATCTTCCTAACGCGCGAATCCAGGCCAACACAAAATCACGCGAGGGGCCTACTGAATTGACATCTTTGGCCCTTTCCTCTACTCCAGTTGAACACATTGGGCACACGTGCGGGCTTGCATCTTTCCCGCCGAAGCCATGAAGCCATGAGGCCACGCGCGGCTTGCTGCCCTCCCACTCCTCAAGATCTCGTCGAAGGGCGCGCGCACGGCACCCTTGAAGGAGAAGCCGAACTGGCACGGCACGTGGTGAGCTGGTCCGCGCTGGCGAGAATGGACCAAAAGTGGGGGCCATCTGTCGGATTTCAGAACCCCAGAAGTGCTTTCTGGGAACAATGAGCCCTTTCTGGGTTGAAGTCCTGTTGGGAGAAGTAGAGCAAAGGCGGCACAGGGCACTCACTCCGGCTTCCAGTTTTGGAGCAAACCAGGTGGACACAATAATTCAAAACCCAAGGAGGTCCAGCTTGGTTTGGGTTGGATTGTCTACTTGGGGGGTTTGCTCCCAAAATGGATCCCTGGGCTGAGGCAATCTGATGCAATCAAATGCAATCAGGCCAGACCAACAATGGCATCCACCACGGTGCAATATCTTTCCATGGACTCTGGCAAGGCAGCCTCCATGGGAACCTGTAGCTGACGACAGGCTGACAGCTCATCTCATAGGCGCCAGGCTGCAGCTGGGGCACGGAAAGTTGCTTCAGCTGTGTGACCAGATTGACCTTGCAAAGATCAGCTCAGGTGACCTGCCCCCTTTCATGGACGATATCCCTCAAACCACTTGGAGATGGTTGTCCAGTTGCGTGTTCTAAAGGACCTCACATGTGACTTGAATAGTGACAATCACTGCGGTCCTAGGTGTCCTTTTGGAACAAGACCTGGGAATGCTTGATAAAAAGGGAAGGAAACTGAAAGTGGAATGCACTCAACTCACTCAACCCAAACGAAACTGCCCGGGGAATCCACTCAAACGCAATCACAAGCGAACCCTTGACTTTTTCTTTCCTACATGGGTACCTTTACCTGGAGTGGAACCTACTGTGGATGGACAAAATCCATTTCGCACCACTTGGAAACCATGGGAAAACATTGTGCGTTGGTATTCACAGGGGAATCATCCCTCTAGGGCCGCTTAGTTGGTGCAGGATTTCGTCCACCCGATATATTTGGCCCGATCTCATCCCAACTCGGTGCTCCACGAACAGCTGCTGCTTCTCATTCGGCTTGGGATAGACCACGTGGGGCTCGTAGCCTCCCGGCTCCGTTGAGTTGGACAAACGAACAAGCGGGGATACGGAGGGGGCGGGGAGATGGGGGGATTCCCTTGGCGCCATTTCCCATATCAAACTTGGTCAAGGTGCATTTAGGGGGAATCCTCCCGTATCCCTGTTACCCCTGTATCCCTGCTAGCTGGTTTCCCTGAAGTGCCCTTTGGACGGAATTCCATGGTTGGGCCTATGTCCGAGGCGTAATCTTGGGGTTTGCCGGTTTGCCGTTTTGCCGGCGATTTCTCCACGGTGCTATTGAAGTACATGCCGAGTTTGCTGACTTCGTGTGCCTGGTTACAACCATGGTGTCACCTCGAGGATTGGCCAAACACGACAACCAAACTGTTTGAGTTTACCACCAACATGGATACCTTTTTGGCAAAGAATCGTATATTGCCAAATGTTGCCAAATGGCAACCAAAAAAGACGCCTCCCGAATTTGCTAAAATGGTCTTGACAAGATGCAACTCAAGTCCAAGTGAGTTTAGCCCCCGGCCAAAGTGGACCAGGTGCCTTGCCGCAACAAGGCCATCCTCAGGTCGCATGGCCAGTGGGTCCAAACTTGGGGTGGCTGTTGTTTGAGTGCAAACTTTGCTGGGGTTGCTTTTACCTTGGTTGCTGTTGACCCCCCTGCATTTTGTTTTTTTAATGGGAGTTGAGTGGAAAACACCTTTATTTCCCAAAAAGTTAAAGTCTAAAGATCCAACCCAATAGCAGTCAAGTTACGAGCCATTTTGGGGGTCCCCAAATTTCAGACAACCTCGGCCGGAAGAAACCCACTCAGGATCCCAAAACGTCATGGAACACTTCATCCCTAGGCTTTGTCCAAAATCCTGGGAGGGCCAGTGGAAACAAACAGAGGCTCGGGCCCCTCCGTTGTTGCCAGGCCCACAAACCAGCAGTACCGGCTTGGCCCCGTACCTGTTGGCTGGCTGCCAAGTCTGGCATCCTTCTGTTGAGCAAAGGGTTTGCCTGACCCTCGGGAAACGGACACGACCAGTTCCGGCACGGAACCAAAAAATCCGGTCCACGGAGTCCACTGCTCCGCCCCAAAACAATATAACATGCCATGGGCATCTCAACAAATGTGGTCATTGACTTTTAGTGGCACAGGTCAACTCCATGGCCTGGGGGGATCTCCCGTAAGCCAGGCCACACCAACTGGCGTGAGGAGTTTGGGGGCGCTCTCCGCTGACGGCTGAAAGGCCCTCTGAAAGGCACAACCAAGCAAAACAAGAAGGTTTGGAAGACCGTAAAACACAAGAATAAGGGCACAAAAACAAACAACATAGAAACAACCAGTTAGCGGGCCCTTACACCACAAAACCACTGAAGGCCTAGACAAAATTTAAACACCGAACTCCCAAAACAAGCCGCTGCCGCAGAAAAACACACAAAAACAAGGACCGACTCTTGCGCACTCTTTTTTTGGAAAGGCGCTGACCACAGCGCAGGCCACGGAAAGTCCTGACTTTCGCCCAACAAAAAGGCACCTGATTTTGGCATTGTCGTCTTTTTGAGTTGGTACGCCCCCCCTTCCTTTGTGGTTGTCCATTTGGGGGGTGCCCCAAACTTCCCCCCATTGTCGTCTTTTCTAGTGTTAAAGGGAGCCAAGAGGAAACCCGCCATTTTTGTTTGGGGGGGGTCCCCAAAAAAACAACCCACCCACACATGCAGCCTACCCTCCGAAAAGAAAAGAATAAGGCTTTGCGGTGGGAAAAGCAATGTCCAAGGCATTCAAAGGCTAAGGATCCCCTCTCTGGGCTCCACGTTAAAACGGGAAGAGACCTTTTCCTGGTGGAGGTTGCAACCTTGCTTCGGGGTGGTGGTTGACAGTTTGCTGCACAATAGCCATGTGCATGACACACACACACACACACAGAAAGAACACACACACACACGCACGCTCCGTGCTGGAAGGGAAATAACATTAGTAATAACCAAAACCTTCCGAATGACTTGATGAAACTGGGTTGGGTGCCCTGAGTTCACGGATAGGCGTCCTTTCGTGGGTGAAACGGGGCTGATTTGCTGAGGAACTCTTAGGGTGTAGAAGCCATACTCTCCATTTGGAATACCGCAAGCATACCACCAAAATAAGGCGAGCGGGTGTCTCCTGGTACCCTGTTTGGGGTCGTTTCGAAACCCGCGTAGCTCGGAGTCAAACGGGGGGGGTGCCACTCAGTCAAGATCCAGGTTTCGAAGTCTCTGCCCAAGGAAGGTGAAGAAAGTTTCGGCTCAACGGGTGCAGTGGGAATCTTTCTGGGGGGCCCTTTTGGTCATCCCAAATCTGGCAGGGTCGTGATCAACACCTGGAGACTGAATGTCGACCCAAAACTCTGGTGAAGAATCCAACGGCCGGATATCCGCAGCTTATTCTTGGCTGCGACTGTCCCCCTCCCCACTTGATTGTGGGCCGTCTGCGATTCGCAAGTGTCTCGTTACCTGGGCAGACAACTTTCCTTTTGAACATGGTTCCCAGGGTTCCCTCATAAATGAATCTCCTAGAGCAAGAGTTATACTGACCCCCATTGATCTAACGCTTGAAATCCAAGGAACCGTTCCCTTTTGGAAGCTCTGTCCTGCAAGCTCCATGAGCTGGTCAACGCTGAAGCCAGGGCTTGCCATCAGCTCCTGACCAAAAACCAGCCGTGCGCAGCCCTCGCCCTTTGCGGTTGGAAGGGAAACCACATGGACGCCAACCATGTTAGGCCCTAGTTTCAGAAACACCCATTTGTGCAAAGGGCAAAGATCTTCCAACTTTGAAACTTAACGTTGGACTAATCCGGCCCACTAGAGGAATCACTGACTTGTAGGTACAAGAAGAACTTGTCGGGCCTTGACACAAATAGAAAAGACCTCACCTAACAACAGATGAATGTTTGCCAACTCAACAGGCAAGACCGTGGTGCAAAAGTTTGTGAAACCCATGCGGGAGGAGGGTGTGAGATCCTTTCAGAACGAGCTGGTGTAGGCTAGCTCTTGAATTTGCAAGTCTCAAGCTTTACTCGGGTGTGACTCACAATCAAAGACCCCATCTAGGTGGTCGGCTTTTATGTTTGTTTCCCAACCCAGACCCTATTTTGAGACAGACCCACCAACCCACTTCCTTGATCTGCCTTTTTAGCCAGGACTTGATCTCCAGATCCAAAGTGAGGTAACATGGGAAGCTGCCAGTTTAAGGTAAGCCACGGATGAAATTGACACCCCACCAGCCGATCGTACGGCAATGCAGCATCACCAGCTGAGGGAGGGGCAATTATGCTACATCACCAGGCCCCGTGCCCCATTCAAAGCTGGTTTTCTTCTGCATCATCAGCATCTGCACGACTTCTGAAGGCTAGATAACAAACCCTGGCTACATCGCCAGCATCACCGAGACTCGTTGTTGAGCTCTGGCTGCATCACCAGCATTCAAATGCCGGGTGTTTGGGGGCGAGCGCATGCCCACGGAAGTGCGGCTTTGGAAGTGCGGCGTTGCACGCCGGGAACGCGGGGGACGTTTCCTTCGGTTCCCTTGGCAAAGCCATAAACTGCATCGCTGCGTTCCCTCAACTTTGAGCACCCGCTCCTCGTCAACTGCAATGGCCTCCTCTTGGTTCAGCAAGCGCCCACAGGCACCCTGGCTTTGAATGGCAGGTGAGTGAGACATATCTGAGCCCTTCCCAGCCTCACGATCCTCCATGTCCGCTCCTGGGTACAGCATTTTCGCCTCTCCGATTTGTTTTTTTCCCCTACGTCTCAGGCGCAGGCCGTTGACGGCTGTCACAGTCTTGATGCGGACCCCAAGTGGCTGTGGGTCAAAAATAGGTACCCCAAATGGAACCCTAGTAAGTGGAAACATGGACCAAAACCACCTGCGGTCCCCTGGTGGTTGTATTTTGACCCATACCCAAGTGACTCTTTCAACAACCTCCCGGATGAAATGGGGGAACTGGTTGCCCGCAGTGATCCGGATGCCCGCAGAATACTGTAAATTGAATTGTGCATTGATAAACCAGGGCTTCACTAATCCTGCCTGTAAACGAGCTTGAGCCGAAACCGCGGAATCAGCTGTCTGCAGTGCTGCAGTCTCAGGCTTCAAGCGAAACCTTAGCGCTGCATTCCAAACGAGCAGCAAACAAAATGTGTTGCCCAAAAGATTGCGCGCAACCAACAAACATACTTATGTCCTTGACTGCGTGAGTATAGATGCTTGTCGAAGCGACAAATTCATGCAAGGGCCAGGAAAGCCACCAAAAGCACAGTCCCCGTGGTTAGCCGCAAGGCTATAGTCGTGCAGTGTACGAAGCATGCCACCTATTTGGCTACCAGCTGGGTGGGCCTATGCCTGAAGTCTCCGTCCAAGTCTTGCCTCCACTTGAGCGCCTGCAGCTCTCGCTTCTTCTCCTCCTTTCGGCTCTCTTGGGCCACGCCTCGCGCGACCCGGCGAAAAAATCTCGCGATGCTTCACGCGATTCTTCGGGGGAAACAACCAGAGATGCTTCAGAACTTGGAGCAGAACAAATCCAGGCAGCGCCACAGGACTACAGTAAAATGGCAGGCAACAAAACACCAGACGCATCTTCATTCGCGCCATCCCAAGCGGTTATTTCTTGTTTGAGACACACAAGCCTTGGACGGGAGACGGCAAAGTGGAAAGAACTTGTGGCCAGTATCAAGGCAGTGCCCAAGTGGGTATTTGGCGGGCTTCCTCTAGAACTTTCAGCTGGTTTTCGTGGCAGTGGGGCATGAAGAATCACACACACACACAAAGCGGCCAGGAACCAACCTGCGATCTCCTGTTCTTGCAGCTCCACGGGCTTCTCCAAGACACCCTAAACCTGAAATGAGAACTTTCCTCTGGTTCTCCTGTAGCCGACACAAAGACGTAGAAAAGCAGGCCTGGGACCAAGCCCGGGCAGCTAGTCCGAGGCTCCCAGAAAGCCGTCAGGGACCCCGCAGAACTTTGGGAAGGAAACTTGAGAGGCGGGTGAACGAAAGCTAGCCAGCCCAACGACGACACGTACAACTCAGGAGTTGCTATTAGGACTAGCAATCCTAAACGAACCTCTAGAAATGTCTAGAAAGACAGGTTCCTCAGCTGCAAACATGTGGACGAGATTATGGGGAGAAACCACGCGTGCCGGGGCAGGGGGGAAACGAGCCCCAGGTTGGGGGTGGGGGGGGGAAAGGGGGGGTGCCCTAGGTAAGGATTTTGTCTTGCGAATCAGGCTTTTTAGGGGGCCAATCCCTGATTTAATCAGGCATTGTGGGAAGCTCAGCCCCTCAAAAAAAAGCAACAGCATAGAGAACTCCCGCTAGCATTCTAGCTCTAGCTTTCGTGAACAGAAGCATACCCTAGGATTTGCTCTAAATCATGGTAGGTTCGAAGCCCTGAGGGTTGCTCCCCAGAAACCCTACTCCCGTGACCCAAGCTTAAAGCTTCCCAACACATCACAGGCGCATGGCTCGCAAGGGCCCGGCTCTCAGAGCCCGGCGCACACCCAAACCCTTCACAAACTCCAAGCGCTCCTCCTTTCCGACGCCGACTCCCCAGTCGCGTCGGCCGAGCGAGCGGAACGCGAAAAAATCTGTGGCTGCAATGGGACTTGGGAAACTTGGGAAAACCGGAGTCCCCCTCCCGTGTTTTGGGGGCGATTTGCGCACGCTGAAACCACGACCCCGACCCGGGCGTTACATTGGTGGTGGTTCTCACTAAACCTCTAAAATTGGTCACTCCTGGACCCGGAGATTCTCGATGCAGTTTGTGAGGCGCCCAAGACCAGGACGCCATGCTCAAAAACCCGTGTGGGTCATGGACATGGTCTCCAAAGCAACCCTTGTGCTGGTCTAAATCATCGGGGTTGATGACCAGACCTAGGAGTACAAGGTTGTTTCACCCATGGCACATGCAAGGCAGGCCACGTGATCGCACTTGGGGAGATAGCGTCAGCTCAGCCACCCAAAATCACCCCATGCATTATATGCCGCCACTTCCACTTCCACCGACTCTCCAAAGCTGAGGCCTTAAACCAGATTCATGGCCCAATGGTGCCAAGGAAAACCAATCTGGGCTCGACGTTGTCATCGCCTGGGTCTTCTCCGGCTCTTTCTCCTCGTGCACTTTCTTTGCGACCTTGCCCTGGCAGCGAGTCGGCAACCCATGGGAAATCCGAGACGAAATCCTGGTTTGTTTATTTGTCCTCTAACAAGTGAGCATTTTCAGGGTCTCATATTTCCCCTTTGACACAAAAAATGTCCAAGGCCAAATGCATGCAACAATTATAGGGAGCCCTGATTTCTCGCGCGGGTCGCATGGTATCATTGGTCCTTGGCCAGCAACTTGGCTCCTCCTCTTTGATGCCTTGGCCAAATCACCGAGCCATTTAGAAAAAACCTCCGCAAAGTCTACCCTCATTCCAAACCGTGGAATGAGGGATCCCCAAGTAAAGGACCCACAAAATGCTCATGCTACCCAGACTAATTCATCCTTGGGGACCTTTCCCAGTTCGTCTCCAGTCCCGTGCCTTCCGTTTGATGCATCAAACCCAAGGTGCGGCAGACTTGGTGCCGGACCTCATGCTGCCTCTCTCAGGCCTGGAACGGGGAACATAGCAGGTCCCAGTTGAGTCATTATCATTCAAATTGGTATCGCAGAAGTCCACTCAAAACCAGGAAACAGATCCTGAAAAGGGCAGATGTCGGCACCTCTTCATGGTTGGAACTTTTCCCTGTATAAGTGAAGCTACGCTTTCCTGCTGCGTTCATTGCAGCTCTAGGGCTATTTTTGCCAACCTCCGCCGAAAGTACACACGCGTCTCCCTGCGGTGACCCTCCGCTTATGCAGAAGTGCCCGCACCGGCCGCCAGTCTGGTCGACTCCAGGCAAATGTCTGATCCACATTTCCTAAATGTATGTCTACACATGTATATGAATAAATATTATATATATATGTATATTGGGAAACAAAAAATTGGTTGCGCGTGCGGATGTGTGTGTGTGTGTGCGCGTATGCATGCATGCCTGTATGTATATCTATATAAATATATATATTATAGGTGTGTATGTATGTGCGTGTGTTGTGTGCATGTGTATATTCTGTGTGTATATGTGTGTAGGTGAGCGCATGTACGCGTATGTGTAGATGTGTGTGTGTGTATGTATGTAAGTCTGTATGTATGTCTGTATGTTTGAATGTCTGAATGTCTGTATGTCTGTATGTCTGTGTGTATGCATGTATGTATGCCTCTGCATATTCGGGTTTTGTTCTTTCTATGCATGCATGCATGCATGCATGCATGTATGGATGCATGGAAGGGTAGGTGTGTGTGTGTGTGTATGTGTTGATGTGTTTGTGCGCGTTTGCCTGCCTGCCTGCCTGCCTGCCTGCCTGCCTGCCTGCCTGCCTGCCTGCCTGCCTGCCTGCCTGCCTGCCTGCCTGCCTGCCTGCATGCATGCATGCATGCATGCATGCATGCATGCATGCATGTGTGTATGTGTGTGTGTGTGCGTATGTGTGTTTGCGTATGTGAGTGTAATTGTGTGAGCGCGCCGCGCGCATATGCAGCGAGGGAGCAAAAGGCGCCAGAAGCAAATGCTGCCTTGTCCTGGTCAGCACACTCCCGCGCACGCTTCACCTGGCCTCATGATAGCTCAGAGGGCGACCGCCCGCGCTTGCGTCGTTGCGCGTCCCAGGAGCTCGCTTCTGAAAAGAGTTCTGACGCCAAGCTTCACGAAGCTCATGCCACAACAAAGATTCATCGTTCGCCAAGGCACGATCAACTATGTATATATGCGCGCATACATGTGTACGTGTGCATATACATATGCATGTGTGTGTGTGCGTAAATACACGCATACGGGCGAGTGTGGTTCTCCTGTTGGTTTCCCTGTAAGCCAACCCTGCAAAAGGTACCCTCAAACAACAGCCACACACACACACACCCAACACCCACACCAGGGCTGTTCCCCCCAAAGGTGGGCAACCAAAGTTGGAGGTTGATTCAAAAGAGGCTAATTGTCACGTTGGCTGGTTCATCAGCTTAAACACACCCTCAGGGAACAACAAATATCGCATGTCTCCAAACTAGCACCTCAACCTGCCCCAGCCTGCCAGGACCGGGCGGTGGCCGGTACACAGCTCTCGGGCGCGCTGCGTCCTGCTCGGCTTTTGGCCGCTTCCAAAGTCGGGTGGGGCACCATATGCGTGTTGCGGTTTTCTTTTACATACAGGGATTTTGCACATCAAACGCCAATAGTTACATATAATATATATATATAGATATAAATAAATATATATATATATATGTATGTGTGTTGGCTCCGGCCCTCAACTGCGCTGCAAAGCGGTCAAACCCCCATTTAGATGACAAGGAAGAACCCCATTGCCAACCCCACTGGACGTGAAGTGCCCACGCTGCACTCCGTCGGCCTTTCACCTCCTCCTTGCCAGACTCAATCCAATGCAACTCAGTCCAGCCTAAGCCTAAGCCAGCTTCACGCGCCTGAGCCAGGCAGAATTGTCTGCAGCCCTGGATGAGCGCAAGCCAGCGAGTCCAGGCCAGTTGACCTGCCCAGCCTTTGCACGACCTTGCTCAGCCCCAGTCCCTGCTCAGTCCAGGCACCAGCCATTGAGCAGCCCGGCATCATTTGCTCAAGCCCGCATTGCTCTTGTGGTTCTTTTGAGCTTGGCCAAGGCGGGAT